TGAACGTCAACTAGTGGTGCAAAGACTTCGATAGTTTGTGATCGTGTTGGTGTCTTGTATAAATTGGACGTACTGGTTTAGTCTGGGAGCGCGGTGTGTTTAGTATACGTCAGTAAATTATTCTCGTGGAGATTTGGTTATCGTTCGAATTCAAGTAAGTAATGATAACTGCCTTGGAGAACGACGCCGCCATCAAATACGAATTAAATGCTTATATTGCAATGTTTTCATTTTAATTAAAAGCCATATTTTTAAATTTGTTTCTTTTTTAAAAGAAAACCATTTAGACTTGTATAAATATTGCCTCAGGTATAATGTAAAACAAATCAAGAATTCATACCTATGATTTTAATTTGTTACTTACGAATATATACTGCTGTCGGCGATGAGGAATCCTTGTCCTTGCTCTTATTCCTCACCCCCTACCCCATCTCTCTCTGTGCATTTCTCCCTCCCTATCTCGTTCTCTCTCTCTATATGTCTGTATCTCTCTTTCTCTCTCTCCCTCACTGTATGCCTCTCTATCTACCCATATCTATCTGTGCCTTTTTTTTCTATTTCCATCTCTCTCCATCTCTCTCTCTATCTCTCTCCTTCTCTCTCTCTCGTTATCCCCTTCCTCTCTCTCGCTATCTCCCTCCCACCCCACCCTCTCTCTCCCTCTCCCACTCTCTCTCCTTCCCTTTTCTCTCTCTCCCTCAGCAATAACGCACAAACACACTGATAATCCTCGTTAACTTCCATTCAGGCATGATTCATTCCTCCGTCTCGGTGGCGACGCGAGAGGGTGAAATCCGAGTAATCTATGTGCTGGGCACCCCTGATCCTCGTTAATCCTCTGGGATTTGTGGCTCTTAGATCATGTGTGTTTAACCGTCGTCATCTGTCTTATGTTTTCAACCGCCTGTGCTTAATTTACCCCAAGCACCATGAATAATTGCGCGAGTGATATATTTCTCAATGCAAACAAGGAAGGTGCAATCAATTCAGGTTTGCTAAAGCCGTGTAACACTGGGACCACTGACGTGTTAGTTTTTTTCAGCATTGTTTTGTGTTGGAAAGAAAATACATCTTGGAAGACACTGTGGACTGTTGTACAATACATTGCATGTGAGGCTTGTGTATGGAAGAAGTGCTGCATGCCTTAGGCGGAATTTCCTTGATTAAACGGACCAATCCAAGGTTCATAATTCGGGGGGTCGAGGGGTTTTAATCTATTTCAGTGTATCGTATTTTAGTGTATTTTAGCGGATCTCGCTGGCTAGGGGAAGCAACTCATGGTAGTTTATTCTTCACTTACCTCAAGGCTAACGTTGGGACCCGTGAAGATCCGGGTTAGTATTGATATTCAGTAACCCATGCTTGTCGTAAGAGGCGACTAACGGGATCGGGTGGTCAGGCTCGCTGGCTTGGTTGACACATGACGCATCGATGCTCATGCTGCTGATCACTGTATTGTCTGGTTCAGAATCGATTATTTACAGACCGCCGCCATATAGCTGTAATATTGCTGAGTGCGGCGTAAAACTAAACTCACTCACTCACTCATGGTTGATTTGGAATCCAGACAAGACAGATCGGAACCGACAAACAAGTGGTTGATAGTATGAACATGTCTGGGAACAATGGCGCACACAACCGACTATGTCGGACAAGGACATGTTTAGCAATGCCATGTTTACATTCGTGAAAGGATCCACACAGCGTCATTCCCTTCCGAAAGGCAGTGAGTGAGATTGGTACTATAACACCTCTTTGAACACTTTGTTAGAATATTCCAGCATTTCAGCTAACACTAAGAGGAACGCAAAAGGGTATTTTACTGTAAAACATTGAATCATAAACAGGACGAATCTCGGATTCTGCCAGGTCAAACGGACGCAACTCACAACTACGAATTGCCGCCCCATAGTCCAATTCCACTATTAGATATTGTAGATTATTTTTCTTTGAGTCTCCCAAATGGAACAAAACAACATAATATTGTTACCCAAGACTATAATAAGGATATTGTTTCTGATGGTCCGTTTGCTGCTTGCTGTATGGTTTAATCAGAAACTTGCAATATGTGGCTGCGACTGATCAATTGAGAATGTATATGGTGCAGGATGATCCAGGCGCCTGTGCCCATACAGGCTCTGGGGACATGCGCTGGGCTGGGTGGTGAATGTTGACACGTCGGAAGAGAGATGTAATTAGTTGATGAGTGAGAGAACACGTTTGAGAATATTTTTGCATGTTGAGCTCGCGTCTGACTAAGGATAGGTCTTGGCGGAACAATTTACTGGTATTATAACGCAAAATTTTACTGGCATTATACCACAACAGTGTACTGGCATTATAAAAAAACTCAAGCGAGTGAGTGAGTGAGTGCATATGGCTTTACGACGTTTTTAGAAATTGTCCAATAATATTACGGCGGGGACCACCAAAGAGGGGTTTCACAGATTCTACCCATGTTGGTTTCGGGTTATTGCCATTGCGAACGCATTAGCCACTAGGCTATAGCCCTCCTCCCAAAAGAATCACCAGCTGAAAAACATAGAACTACTATTACGAAAAAATAGGTAATCACGAGAAAGTTGTTATCTTTGGATTAACAAGAAAAGTGAGTGAGACAACAAAGACAACAAAGATGCAGGCTAAACAATGGAAGCCAGCAGTTAGCTGGTGTTAATGTGTCATTGACAAAGGACAACTGGAAGCCGGCACTGAACAGTTCATTAGCGCTGAATAGAAGCCAATTCTTTACAGTTAAATAGTGTTGACAGGTGATGAACAATGGACAGCTAGAAGCCGGGATTAAATTAAATGGATAAGGGAAGATGGGAGGTACATAGAAATAGATAAACCCTATGTTGCGTGAAAATCAAAGGTACTATAACATCTTCAATACATGGAGAAGCTTACATACCCACACCAAACACCCATCATTAACACAATATACGAGTGAGTGAGGTTAGTTTTACCCCGCACTCAGCAATATTCCAACTACATGGCGGCGGTCTGTAAATAATCGAGTCTGAACCAGACAATCCAGTGATCAACAGCATAAGCGTAGATCTGCGCAATGGGAACCGATGACATGTCAACCAAGTCAGCGAGCCTGACCACCCGATCCCCTTAGTCGCCTCTTACGACAAGCATGGGTGACTGAAGGTTCATTCTAACCCGGACCTTCACGGGTCCACACAATATACGATGAAAGTGTATGCTGAAAATATACTGAAAAACAAACACAATATTAACGAGCATGATGATACTGAACAGACCGCCCCGTCGGACAGCGATGAGAGGAAGGCATTGCGATGACTGGACCGTGATATGTTCTGTTTAACGACCCGCTGACATTATCATCAATTAATGAATGAGAGAAGCGAAAATGAGAACGCGTGCACTCGCACACCCTGCATTCGCCCTTGACATCCTTGTACTTGACGGCTTTACATGACGGCGCCTTCGTGGGATGACCATTAGAGGAAAATACAGTGGACATGTCTTAAGTGACATTATTTGTATTTTGGTAGATATAGTTACAGGTTACTACACTTCTTGGTTCAGGCAATTTAGAGAACCTGAATCGTCTTGGCGCAACGATGAGAATCAGCGAGGAACTATTGTCACTTGAAAAAGTGAAACGAAGCTATCGGGAAGATGTCCCAAGTGAGTGAGTGAGTGAGTGAGTGAGTGAGTGAGTGAGTGAGTGAGTGAGTGGTGAGTGGGTGAGTGGGTGGGTGGGTTGGTGGGTGGGTGGGTGGGTGGGTGAGTGAGTGAGTGAGTGAGTGAGTGAGTGAGTGAGTGAGTGAGTGAGTGAGTGAGTGAGCGAGCGAGCGACATTATTAAAGTGTCCTTACTCGACATCTATTGCTGCACACGTGCTTTCGTTTACCCACTGAGACGGTTAACTTCTAGTGTGAGTGAGTGAGTGAGTGAGTATAGTTATACACCGCTTGTAGCAATGTTCCAGCAATATCACGGCGGGGGACACCAGAAATGGGTAGCCATGTGGGGTCTTCGGCGTGACGAGTGAACGCTTTAACCATTAGGCTACCCCCACCGCCCAGGACTTCATAACTCTCACAAACGTAGCTAATATGTTAAGGGTTTTACAGAGAGATGTCAACTAGTCGTATATCCACAGACATGATATTTAATACTAGTACTCCTTGTTTATCTTTGAAAGTGCGATGTCTTGTCCAACCACATCAGATAAACGTTTTTCGTTTCATCCATATCATCACGAAGATCGGGTTTGCAGCGCTGACGTCGACGTAAAGGGTCCTGTAGATGACGAGGTGATTACCGTCGCCCCTGTAATGAGTACTTCTTGGCTATACTTAGATGGCAGTCGTTACCCGAATCCGTTTGTCGTCATGCATATCCTGTGATCCATCCGTTGCCATGGCATTTGCGAAACGCACGCCAGCTGATGTCGTTTGACGAATAATGCCGAAAACAAGCCGCTGTCGTAAGACGAAAGTTGAACAGTAACTCTGGGTGAGTAAACGTTTTGAATAAACACAAAGAATGTAGACTGGGTATATAGATTTGATATTGTTTTTTTGATGCCGTACTCAAACACTGGATGTCGTTAATTTGGTTGACAACTGATGTGCAGAAACATGATACGTTTCCCATTCCCATTCGTCCCCTTGTTGACTTGAATGGGTGAGTGAGTTTTAGTTTTACGCCGCTTTTGTCAATATTTTGAGCAATACCACGGCGGGGGACACCGGACATGTGCTTCACACATTATAACCATGTGGGGATCGTACACATATATGTGTTTCAAGGAAATTGACGTTTGTGTTTATTTTCTTTCCATATTTTACCAATTCCGTTTATCAAAGAGGTAGGTTCTGCAGTACCAATACATCGGACAGCCTCCTTTATCTTGCAGACATAGGCTTAACAGACTGAAAATAGCAGTCACGCAAGAGATTCCTCATTCCGCAGGGGCCATACCGCCGTGATGTCGTTGTAATAGTTTCTGTAAAAAGTTCCTGGCCACAGGAGGCTTTGTGTGTAATTGTATAGGAAATTCATGCATTATAAATGTTCGTGCGACGGTGAGATGTAAACACACCAAACAATACAGTAATGGGCTGGGAAATGGAACTATCCATACAAAGACTTTCAATTGTTGCGTCATGTTGCGAAACATACGATGTCATGTCGGTCTTGTACCAATAATCAGTTCCTGGAAACCTGAAGACGTGAGAAAGATTCTAGGGTTCCCACTAACCAGTGGTTGATAGTATGAGTACCGCTGATTGCAATATGACACACTCTGACTAACCAGTGTTTCCTTTAAAGGTCACATGCAAACGTAAAACACAACTTTGCAGATTCTGATACCTTTCGGTATGGACTTACAGATACAAATCATCAAAAATGCAAATTCCACTTATAAAGTTGAAAAATAACGCGATGAAAAAGCCCCCGCTAAATCGGAGTTCAAACTTTTCACTAAATTCACCCCAGCTTGGGGTGAAAAGTGGTTGCAACAGCTGTGCTGCGCAGAGCTGGGCTGCGCTCATAACGCATGCGCAGTGAATAGGTTCGCGCAGCTTCGAAGCGGGATTGTGACACCCGTAGGGCATTACGCCTATTAGTCCCAGCCTGGCGTCCCCATGGGACATCTGTGTATTCATGTGAAGCAAAGCCGACATACATACATGAACAGCTGTATTGGTTTCTAAGACCCGTTAAGTTTAGCTGACCTTAGTTTTAATGCGTCCTTTGATGTTTGCACTTGGACATTTAGAGATTTAATTTCACAGAGACGGAACCATGACCTGTTCTAAGGTCCGTGATTGTTCTTTTTTTCACAGACCATTTCGCTTTCCACAAACGCCATTGTGGTTCATAATGCACTGCTTGACACTACAAACTCTCTCGCTACGTAGTAAATACAACCTACGCATGATGACTTTGAACATCTATCCTGGGAAAATTCCCACAGGGTACAGTCTCACGACTCCAAGGACAACACTGTCAGGCATACCTTGGTTTGGAAGGTCATGAATTGGGAAACGCGATGTTTTTGTATTGTTTTGATTGTTGTTTTTCAAAACGCAATTTGTTCCAAAGTGATCAGTTTCGTGAAAAGGAATTTTGCTATTCCACCTGTCTTAGAGCATCCACAACATCTACAGATTCAGCGGGTGTCAAGTCTTCTGGAGTGTGCCCGGTCCTGTTCGGTGACCACACCGTGTCACGAGTTTCAGTTTTCAAGGACCAGTAGCACGTGCATCACGAGATCCACGCTTGTTGTCAATGGCGGCCTGCTCGATAACGTCACTGGTCTGTTTGACGTGTTTAGTCGGAACCCCAGAGGTAAATCTAACTCTTTTTAAACACCTGCTTGTTTTTTCGTTGTTTCATAATTTTGCAATTCTCACAAAGTCTGTACGGTGTGAATTTATTGTGTACATCGTATTTCTTTTCTGTGAAGCGTAGACTGTTTTGCATTTTGATTAGAATATTTTCCATAACCAGAATACAGAATACAATTCAGTTATACCCTGGTAATACAAAACACACCTACCTCGTATTCAATGATTTCTTTGTTTCTTCTCAGCTCCGACTTCCTGCTCTGCCATCAAGGCGAGTGACCATACAGCGTCAGACGGCGAGTACTACATCTACCCCACCGCCTCCCAGTTCCAGGGTGTGACGGTGAGGGTCTACTGTTTGATGAATGATACGCACCAGCTGGAGTACGTCACCCTGCCTCACAGGAACTTTGGAGAATTCCCCAACAAGTCCAACCCAACGTGCACCAAAGAATATCCGTATTTACGTGGTAACGGTGTTGGGCATAACAAAATATTCGATTTCCGGAAAATCAGAGTTGATCCATCCGTGAGTATTGATGACGTAAACATCGCAATGAAATAAAGCAGATTGACTGTATGATTGACGGTAATGAAATAAAGCAGACTGACTGGATGATTGACGGTAATGAAATAAAGCAGATTGACTGTATGATTGACGGTAATGAAATAAAGCAGACTGACTGGATGATTGATGGTAATGAAATAAAGCAGATTGACTGGATGATTGACGATAATGAAATAAAGCAGACTGACTGGATGATTGATGGTAATGAAATAAAGCAGACTGACTGGATGATTGACGGTAATGAAATAAAGCAGACTGACTGGATGATTGACGGTAATGAAATAAAGCAGACTGACTGGATGAATGATGGTAATGAAATAAAGCAGACTGACTGGATGATTGATGGTAATGAAATAAAGCAGACTGACTGGATGATTGACGGTAATGAAATAAAGCAGACTGACTGGATGATTGATGGTAATGTGCAAAAAGAATACCACGGACCGAGAATATGTTAAGAATTTTGGTTCCAATGTAGACTATGCAACCTGTTTACGCTGCAAGCAGATGTAACTATCTTTTAAAAGGAACTTTATATCTGCGGTAAAAGTGAGCCCTAGAACGTTTTTTTCAGAAACGCTGACCAACATGTTCAATAGGGTGGGCGATAATACCCGTTAACCGGTATATTGCAATTCGAACTTCACAATACAATATATTGCGGTACACTTTCCGCGAACCGGTTCACCCGATACGATCGGTAAAATTCGTGATGTAGTAAAAAATACTAATAACATTTGTATTTCCTTTATATCATTATACATTAATCATTTTGAGGATGTCGTATTATTGCATTTGCGTGACTTTTAAACCATATAAATAAAAAATAGATTGGTACCGGCACTCGTTGTAAGGATAAACAAACCAAAATGGCATACGCCGCTGCAGACGCTTTTTCTCGAGTTTCAAACTTTATCTAGAGCAAAGTCTTCAGTTTGGACTGACTGACTGACTGAGTTTGGTTTTACGCCGTTTAACAATATTCCAGCAACATAACGGCGGGGACACAAGGAATGGGCTTCACACAATGTACCCATGTGGGGATTCGAACCCGGGTCTTCGGCGTGGCGCTTCAGTTTGGAAACATTTTCAGTTGATCTCTTGTACAGTTACATTTGAGTCCTGACAGTGGCCAATGGCGTTGATTCAAAGGAGAGGAAACAGTAATTTCATTACCTTAACCCATGTGTTACACATTTACAATACATGTATATTGAAATACATATTGCAATACGCCAACACATATCGCAATATATCGCAATACGAACATTTTGGCAATACCCAACCCCCATGTTCAATATTTATTTGTCCATGTGTCAGTATTTGGTCACTAAAAGCGTAAAACAAGATTGTATCCCGATTCATTTGCATAATCCCTCATGAAAGGTGACCCGTGAAGATCCGGCTTAGAATCGGTCCTTAGCAACCCATGCCTGTCGTAAATGGCGACTAACGGGATCGGCTGGTGAGGCTGGCCTACTTGGTTGACACATTTCATCGTATCTAAATTGCATTGACCGATGCTCACACTGTTGATCACTGGATTGTCTAGTCCAGAGCTGGAATATTGCTGAGTGCGGCGTTAAACAACAACCAAACTAAACCCAGGAACGGTCTGTAACAAGGAAATGGTTTTAACCTTCAGACATCAGTGCTGATTTTAATGTTTGTTGTTTGCTAATTTCACGGGTGTCCTCATGGAAACGAAATGGACATAACTTCCGTCTAAGCTTTGCAACAGTGTCTCCAAACTCGTGTTAACTTGCATGGACTTATGTTGTTTCACGTCAACAACTGGTATCCTTTCAGACCATGACAGTGACGAGAGACGATTACACATTCGCAGTGTCTACGGGCAATAGCGGCAAGTACGGCAATGCTGCAGACTGTTACACAGATAAAGCTTCGTGTGGACCTATTGGAAACTTCCACATCAACACACTCGGCACCGGGATGAAGTTTAGTGACAGCGTATGTATTGCGCTTTTGTGTATGTTATTGTTTTTTGTGGAAAAAAATGTGAATGCGTTTTTATTCGGGACGAGGGCTGTTGGTTGGTTGGTTTGTTTAACGCCGCACTCAGCAATGTACCAGCTATATGGTAAATAATTGAATCTCGACCAGACAATCCAGTGATCAACAGCATGAGCATCTATCTACACAACTGGGAAGCGATGGCGTGTGACAAACAAGTCAGCGAACCTGACCATCCGATCCCGTTACTCGCCTCTTACAAAAAGCCTGGGTCACTGAAGACCAATTGTACCCGAGACCTTCACGGGTTTATTGGGGGTGGGGGTGGGCGTAGGGGACGGTGGTGGGGGCAGGGTTGTTATCATTTTATATTGTATTTAACTATTTGACGACATGATCCACATGAAAACAGTGTGTTGTTTTGTCTACAACCACCTCTTTCTGGTCTCTCAAAGACTTGCTGAGTCGGGCCCGTTTAATATCGTTGATCCGGGTTAGAATTTGTCTTCATCACCCATGCTTGTCATAAATGACGACTAAAGGGTTCAGATGGTCAGGCTCGTTGAATTTGTTGATAGTTTCCAAGTTGAGTAGATCGAGGCTTTTGAAGTAAGTCACTGGATTGTCTGGTCCAGACTCAATAATTATTGACAGACCGAGGCAGTGTAGCTGGAATATCGCTGAGTTCGGCGTAAAACAACAAAGCAAAAATCTTAAATTCGTTATCATGCCTTATTTCACGCACTCAGCAGTATTGCAGCTGTATGGCTATCCGGGTTAGAACTGACCTCCAGTAATTAACCCAGGCATGTCGTAAGAAGCGACAAACGGGATAGCGTGATCAGACTTGCCGACTTGGTGGACGCACGTCATCGTATCCAAATTGCGATGGTCGATGCTCATGATGTTGATCACTGGATTGTCTGGTCCAGACTCGATTACAGACCGCCGCCATATAGCTGGAATACTGCTGAGTGAGGCGTTAAACAACAAACCAACTGGAATGGATTCTCTCTAGGACAAAGTATACTGACATTGGTCTTTGTGGCACCCCATATCTTGAGATAGTTCCTTCCCGTGGGTTTAAGAATGAAATATAAAAAAATATTTCGGTAACCTTTCATGGCCCAACATATTCTACTTGCAGCTGACGTGGTGGGCCTCTAAGTTGACAGCAAAGGTAACCCGGCAAGAGAACGGTGCCATCATTGACGTGGTGTGTGGGGGCTACTGTGGCTACTGTCGTCCTGAGGTGGACATGGTGCTGCATCCACAGGACAACTAGCATCTTCATCATGACGTCAGCGTGAAGGAGAGAAACGGCAGTTTTGTGGTTAGCCCGTGGTTCAAAATGTATGCCACCAGTTTCTGAGGTTGTGATGCCGCTTCTCACTCAACAAACCGACACCATGCACGCTCTCACTCACTCACCAACCACTACACTCACACACCCGCTCACCTACCCACCCAATCACTCACCCACCTACCGTTATATTCACTAACCACTCATTCAGCTCAGTTACTCACCAACTCAACCATAGCTACACTCACACACTCACTCACCCACCGCGTTTTACAATGGATGTATTGGAAACTTACAGGGTAGAAACCGGTTATCGAAAAGAAAATCCAAACAAAACCTTTTTCATTTTGATTTGAATCTATGTGCCTGGTAGTTTGAATGTGATATACTATTTGCTGTCTTAAATAAACAGTTCTGTACTCAAATGGTGTGTAACGTTTATTTGTTACTACTTCTGACTCCAAATACCCACTCTCCCTCACTCTCTCTCTCTATACAGATCATGTCCTACCCCACTCTCCCTCCCTCTCATTTTCTCTCCCCTCCATCTTACTCCTCCCCATCCCTCTTTCTCTCTCTGTGTCATTTCTTCTTCTGTCTCTCTCATTGTTTCCTCTTTCTATATATATATATATATATATATATCTCCCCCTCTTTCTCTCTCTCTCTCTCTCTCTCTCTCTCTCTCTCTCTCTCTCTCTCTCTCTCCAATTACTTTCACAAAACCAAATATACCAGAGAGGTATGGTACTTACTAATTCCCTTATTGAGGATGCAGTATAATACTGGTGCGAATATATTTCTCGGCAATGAGTGAGTGAGTGAGTGAGTTAAGATTTTAAGTCACATTGGCAATATTTCAGCCATATCGTGACTAAAGCAAGTTATAAATATAACTCTCGGCAATGTATCTATGCATGTCATAAGATGATACTGAAGCTGTGAAACTCACTATCTGGATTCCTTGGTCACTGAGCCACTTGCCCAGTTCATATAGGTACTTTCACATGTTTGTAAACGTCGCGTTTATGGTATAAATAGGTCATTTCTATCCTTGTCTGTACTAAGCTCTAAGTTCCATATAGCACAGTTATTCAACCCAGTCTGCTGCATCAACGGTGCTGATGAATGCCAAGATTATCTACTTTGACAAAACCATTGTTACTGTTAAATGTAGGACAGTTCTTGTCACAAGCGTATGAAGAGGCAGTGCTGCGTTGTTGATCAATAAATGCCATATGTATAATATATGGTGCTATTATATTTAGTAAGTGAGTGTGAAAATGTTTAGAAGGCATTGCACAGACAGGTATTCTACTCATGTTTTCATGGAGAAAGTTGGAAACACTGCCAGCCAGCAATACACAATACACTTGAACCACCAAAATGCGAAAAAGGAATTTTGTTTGGTTAAAACTGGTTGTGGTCTTTGTCATTGCAGTTATATGTCATACCCGCTTCCAGATCAGATATCAGAAAGTAGTAGTCATGGTTACACATGACATCACTTTGTACGAGCCAGCAATTCTCAAAATAACCCTTGGTGCTGTTTAGTCGGTGGGTGTGAACATGTTTGGAAAACATTGAACAGACAGGTCTCCTGCACATGCTGTCACGGAGAAAGCTGAAACACATCCAGACAGCAAACCAACAACACACAAGAACCACTAAGATGCGAAAAAAAAAAAACATATTAAAAAATGTTAAAACTGGTTATTGTGCCCTTTGTCACTGCATAAGCAATTCTAGAAATAATCATTCACATTAACGGAGTCCGGAATAATGAAGGTCCACCATAAGCAAGAATTGCACTTCCTCTGGTTATTGATAAGATATGGTGGCAGTGTAACAACCCAATTTTCAATAAAGTTTGTCAACATTGCAAACTTAGGTGAAACAAGTCATAAGTCAAAGGGGGCAACCAGTCTGTCATTCTAGGACATACAGACATACGTCTGACCAGATTACATCACCAACTATCCTGACGTCCAAGCAGCAATAACCATATCATTATGTGTAGAACAACCCTAGCCGTTCCATCCTGATATCATTGTAATGGTCGTGAATACATGCTCATGCTACTATCACCGGTTTGTCTGGTCCTGATGCCTTTACTTTAGCCACAACAATCGTATGAAGCGGCGCAACTGCTGACTCCTAGGACTGACGTTGGTAATAAAACCAAGACCTAAGGCTTGATAGGCTACACTATCACCCCAGGTTGTGGATGAGCAATGATTAGACCTGCAGTGCCTGCTCAGACGGGCTACACAACTTCTCTTCATGAATATTGCGTAACACAGCACAGTGTGTTCACATGTTGTCAGTCTCCCAGTCCCTAAACCACTTCGTTTCCCCTATCGCCCACCCCTTTCTGCAGTGTGAAAGCGATATATGAAGTAAGTCTACATTGTCAACACGTTCAGCATACCTTGCACATTTTCGATTTAAGAGAAGTTATTTGTTCCTGCCAAATTATTAACAGAGACTTAGAGTTTGTCTAGGTGGACATGCTGCACACACTGAGTTGCAGGTATCGTGAGTGACGTTCTATTTAACACTGCTTTAGGCAATATGACAGTTATATTGCGACATGTCGGAACGGACGGCCAAAGTGACGAATATTGCAGATGACCGCATTCATGGCCAATTCTCTTGTCGACGTGAGGTCTTTGTTTATATTACACCTGTATGATAGCTATTAGACCATGGTATCACTCGGACCATCAGAGACAGGAGACCATTGATCTCAGAGCAGGTATTAACATTAGGGGACCTAAAACTGTCACTTGGTGTTTACGATGCTCGCCGCCAGACACAGCTAATAGCTCTCCCGGTGAGGAGACAGATCCCAGCTGACATCACGTTCTTCATCAGTAGTCGCCGTTTTACAGGGAGATACAGGGAGTACCTGGTTACACATTCTTACACCATTGTCTCTGATCAACAGGGAGAGGCTGAAATGTGGGAGAGGAAACAAAATAGCATTTCTCAAGGGCAGGCCTTGTGAGTAACATATCCAAATGGAATAACCTGTGTTCCATGTTTATATTTAAAGCTTCACCGAGCGATATTACAAGCGCCTTGTCAACTGCACATGGGATACCAGTTAACATCTGGTTAACTCTTTTCCTCTAGCTCTTGAAATTATTAGAAGTTAGCAAATCTGTTGCCATGTAGCTCTGGCAGTCATCAGACAACTTGTAACATAGCGGTGACGTTGCTCGGGTAATCCGTATACAGTAAGTGAGACGTTGTCATGTAGCACTGGTAGTTATGAGGTAACTTGTAAAATAGCGGTTATGCTGCTCGACATATCAGAATGTAGTAAGTGAAGCGGTTGCCATGTTGCTTTGGTAGTCATATTTGTAAGGATTATTGTTTAAACGTTTAGATCTATGCTCAAACTAACCATGGTGATAATGTAATCCGGGAGATAATTAGGTCTATCGATGGCTTCTGTCACAGAAAATCGTCACGAAAGAAAACTGCAAGGGGAGAAAATTAGTATTCTCCACTGGTTCGATGTTTTTTGCTCTAAAAATGGGTCGGCGATTGTTTTAGTGAAGAAATCGACTTTTGTTGTGCTCAGCACCTTCCTGTCCTCTAATGAATCCTGTCACACAGAGGCAAAAAATGACCACCCATAATGTCTAAATGCCTAGTCGGCAGTAATGAAGAGTTAAAAAGTCCTTTGAGCAACATCTATTACGACAGAAAGTCGGTGTGCATTTACTGGACTAATGGCACGTTCAGATGCTCTGTCAAATAACTAAAGCAACCGCCTGCGAATAATCTATCCTGGACGTTACAACCAACAGTGCTGTCAAGATGAAACGAAATGTACAGTCCTATTACCGCTTGAATAAAGCACCTCTTACCGAACTGATGAAATGCTCATTTAAAGGTGGGTTCGGTGGGCAGAGAAATGAAGTCATGAAAAATTGGCGCAGAGAAACAGGAAAACAAATATAATGGAGGGTGGGCTTGGGGCGTGACAGTTCTGTATATCCAAATTAATATTCCAACGTAGACCAATGTTCGGGATTGGCAATGCAGTAACGGTACACTTGATGCTGTAAAAACATGTTCATGGGTTTGGGTGCGAATAATCTATCTTAGACGTTGCAGACAAACATTGCTGTCAAGATGAAACAAAAGAACATTTCTATTACAGTTTGAAGAAAGCACTTCGTAAGGAGCTCATGAAATGCCCATTTAAATCTGTATTAAGATCCAAATGTATATCCAAATTAATAATACAATTTAGACTATGACCGTTGTTGGTAATGTAGTAAAGGTGCAATTGGTGGGCTGTAAAACATTAACTAGGGATTGGGTAACAGTAGTTAACAGTGTGTTCTTTGCACCGTGACCTAAACAGTCAAGGGAAATCCAACTAGTCGATAGAAAGCAGTACGACAGGCCTGTATATATACTAGGCACATAAAGAAACTGTGCATAAGGATTTAAACTCAGAGATTAGTGACATGCATGCACGTACCACGTTCCGTGACGTCAGTGGGTTCGTCCTTGAGACGTGCAATACGTTGTTGCACGTGCATTCCGGGAAAGAGAAACAGAGCAAATGAATGCCACACAATACTGTCACTTTGGAAAGCTCAACCCCTACCCTTGCGAACGTTCCAAAAATTAAACGGTCATTGAAACGCATAGCATGCCAAGGTTTTCTTGTTCAGTCGTTTGGGGTAACATGCCCTTTATTTCGGATGATATAATTGAAAGTTTATGTTAAAGGGTTGCAAGTTGTATTCACTTTTTCTGGTTTTCATCGTTGTATATGTTGTATGAGCATTTCAGAAAAGTAACAGTTCTGACAGAGGGCTGGTGTCAGTTGTGTTACCAGTTTTTAATATTTTCATACTCACTGAAGGAGAACCTATAGCCATAGAATCTAGAGGTACTCTCCAATGCCAATAATAAATTCATTGATCAAATAGGCTGTGACAGGGCTGTTTTATGCAAAAATTACACACCATTAGGCAGAGGTGTCAAAACTGTTACCCGAAGTGTCATTTCTGTTACTGGCTTCATTTTACCTTGCCCACAACTATCACTGTGAACAGTACTATGCATGTACAATGAAGGTTTTTAATGGATCATTCAAATATAAATCGTCGAATGTTATAAAGAAATATATGAGAAATCATTAATGTCATTTTCAAACACATACAATGTAGTATTTCCATTCTGTTACCATTCAAGTCCAAACTGTTACCGACAATGGCCATATCTGTTACGATATGTATTTTCTGAATAAGTTATTAAACATGTGTAAATTTAATACACCTTTAACTTGTTGTCGTTGAGTGCATGTTGAGTGAAAAGAAAATGTAAAGTTCACAAGTGCCAAACTGCAGTTATTTAAAATATAGAGATAATAAACCTCTGTTTTTTCA